GGGGGGGGGGCGTGTCCTGCTTGGGCAGGCCCAGGGAAGCCCCGACGAGGGGTGGGGGTCTGGGGCGCCAGGCTGGGGGTTGCTGCCCTGCCCTGCCCACAGGGACAGTGGCTGGCGCTGACCCCACGGCCACCGTGGCTGCACCATGATTCCTCCCCAGCCCGGCAGCACTGGCCAACAACCCTCCTTGCTTGCCCCTCGCCGTCCCCTCAGGCTTGCTGCATCCCTCCAGGGGCCAAATCCTGACCCGGCCGAGCCATTGGCACGTGTTGGGCACAGCAGGGCTGTGGGACTGGCCCCCGGTGGTGCCCGGGGCCGGCAGGGCGAGGGCAGCGCACGTGGGGGGTCCCCAGTGCAGCACCGGGAGGCAGCGGTGGCCAAAACCCCCCCAAATAAGGGCTGGGGGAGCGATACCAAGGCCACGTGCCCCCTCCCACCCGTGCCCTCCCTGCGGCCCAGGTGCAGGAGTGGAACGTGGAGGCCCCCCACCTGATGCCTCTGCAGCCGCCGCTGCTGCCGGAGCGGGCGCACGTGCGGGAGGCGCAGCTCCACTCCGCCGAGGCCTCGCTCTGGACTGTGGTGGCCACGGTGCAGGCGATGGAGAGGAAGATCGACCTCCTGGCCACCCGCCTGCTCAGCCTTGAGGGACGGTCCGGCACAGCCGAGAAGAAGCTTCTGGACTGCGAGAAGACGGCCATGGAGTTCGGGAACCAGCTGGAGAGCAAATGGGCCGTGCTGGGCACCCTCATCCAGGAGTACGGGCTGCTCCAGCGGCGCCTGGAGAACGTGGAGAACCTCCTGAAGAACAGGAACTTCTGGGTGCTGCGCCTGCCCCCAGGCCCCCGGGGTGAAGTCCCCAAGGTAATGGCTCCCGGCAGGGGCTGCGGGCCTGGCAAGGGGGACACTTGGCTGCCTGGGGGAGCAGGTGGCGCTGAGCTGCTGGGGGCTTGTCCCTGCAGGTGCCAGTGACGTTTGTTGACATTGCCGTCTACTTCTCGGCAGAGGAGTGGAAGAATTTGGAGGAGTGGCAGAAAGAGCTGTACAATAACCTGGTGAAGGAGAACTATGAGTCTTTGCTCTCCCTGGGTAAACATCCCTTTTCGCCCCTCTCTGTGCCTGCGTCTCTCTGGAGGGAGGGTCCCAGATGCGGGTGCCCTGGTTCCCTGTGAGCGGTCGGTGGCGGCACATGCCACGGCTCCAGGGCCTCCCATGTCGGAGGGAAGCCTCTGCCCCCTGTGCTCCTACATGGGGACGGGATGCTGTGAGGGCCCTGGAGCGAGTCCTCGCCCCCCAAAATCGAGGGCCTAGCACAGAGGTCCTGCCCAATTTAGGCAAGTTCTCCACCAGGAGAGATGCCCGGCACATCTCTGGAGAGGGTCGGGTGGGTGTAGCCTCAGCGCCAGTGCCAGCCCTGCTGTTTCCCCATGCAGATGGTGCCCTGTCCAGAAACGAGGTGCAGCCCCGTGGCGAGCGCGGGGAGGGACCCTGCATCCCCGAGCAGAGGGAGCTGGAGCAGAGGGAGCTGCCACCGGACACCTGCGCAGGTGAGGCATCCCCCCCACATCCCCACTGCCTCCCACCTCGGGTTTCCCCCCACCCCACTGCCCACCCCGGGAAGGTCCCTCCTTCCCCTGGTGGTCCCAACCCCACAGGACCCAGTTTTAAAGCCACGGCCAGATGCTGGTCCCCGCTGTGTGACCGGGTGCCACCACAAGTGATGCTGGAAAACCCCCGATGGCAAGCTGGGGGGGCTTGGGCATCCATCCCTGGGAGATCCATGTGCCCACCACCGCCACCACGTCGTGTCAGAGTCCGTGGGCTGTGTCACAGTCACCTGTCCCCATCACCTATGCCACTGTCACTCGTCCCTGTGGGCTGTGTCATGGCCACACGTCCCCACAGGCTGTCCCAGGGTCACCCACAGCTCCCTGGGGGGGGGGTGTGTGTGTTTCAATGCCCCGTAACTGTGGTGGGACAGGGACATCGCACATTGGCCGGAGCCCGGGGGTCCCACCCGCCGTTGGGCCGCATCCTGGCACCAGCCAAGTCTCTCCTTGTGAACAGAGTCGCTGATCTCCACCTCCGACATCCTGTCCCGGATCAAGCAGGAGGTGGCGTTTGTGGGGGAGCAGCAGTTTGCCGAGGAGCGGGCACTGCCAGCGGACCCCTGCGCAGGTGAGTCTGGGGCCGGGCCCAACACTGGCAGCACCCACTGCCTTTCGCAGTGCAGGATGTGGCCCCGCTCGGCTGAGTGCCCATCCCCGTCCTTCCCTGCAGGCGCAGATGCCCTGATCACGGCGCACGACTTCTTGTCGTGGATCAAGCAGGAGGAAGAACCCTGCGTCCGTGAGCCCTGGGAGCTGCCGGAGAGGGAGATGCTGACAGGTCCTGGTCCCGGTGAGCGATGGGGGAGCTGGTGGCAGGGAAGCACCCACCCAGGCTGGGGCTCGGGGATGTCCCCAGTGTCCCCAGCAGGCGCTGAGCGAGCCTCTCCCTCCCCTGCAGCTGGCGAGGGGCTGCTGGTGAAGTCGGAGGAGCGGTGCCCCCACGCCGAGCCCCCCGAGGAGGTGGGTTTACCAGGTGGCTCCGGGGAGCTGCTCTTCCCTGGCGCGGGCTTCGGGAGTCCCGAGGGACAGGCTGCGGTGACAGCGGCGGCAGCGGCAGCGGCGGCAGCTCTGCCTCCGCAGCACAGACTGGGCAAAACCTCCGGCTCGGAAGCGGGGCCGGGGGCCGAGGCGTCGGGGCTCCCCACTGCCACGCCGGGGCCCACCGAGGAGCGGCCGCACGGCTGCGCCGAGTGCGGGAAGAGCTTCAGCGGGAAGAAGAGCCTGCGGATCCACCAGCGGAGCCACGCGGCTGAGCGGCCTTACCCCTGCGCCGAGTGCGGCAAGAGCTTCAACTGCCACTCGGGGCTGGTGCGGCACCAGATGATCCACCGCGGCGAGCGGCCCTACAAGTGCTCCGAGTGTGACAAAAGCTACAGGAGAAAGGATTATCTTCTAAACCACCAGCGCCGGCACTCGGGAGAGGGGCTCTTCCAGTGTCCCCTCTGCAGGAAGAGATTTGTGCTCAGGAGGAGTTTCATGAAGCATCAGGAAAGTCACATGCAAGAAACGCACCTGACGTTGGCCAGTTGGCCCTGCACGGAGATCAGGGGGTCTGTAATGCATTCCATATAAAAACATCCTTTCCTGCTGTGGGTTTTGCAGCCCCCTGGGCTGTCACCGTTGCTGGGCAGGAGGCAGGG